TCTAGTGATTCTTGCTTTGACCTAGAATGATAATCTCTGCATAGGTCAATAGAGTATATTGAATTGGAGGTAGTGAATCGGCGACTTTAGTCGGGAAGTCGATTCACTGCTCTGTACCGGTGTAGAACCCAGCAGAGGAAGTTTGAATCTTATTGCCTTAGTTAGCTTACGCCGGTGGGGGTTAGTTGCCCGTCGGGTATTCAAACTAAGAGGGTTTGGAGCACTTTAGTCGTGACTCCATAGTGTTTGAGAAATTTCCGCAGTTTAAACATCAATAAACCTGACTTAGGTGAATTACAACTTGGCCTGACTGTGATCAAAGGGGACTCGTACATGAGTGAGCCTTCTTAATCTGAATACAATCGTTACTTGCTTTATGTTTTTTTTCTTTTTTTTTTTTTTGCTTTTGATAATCTTCACTCAACTGAACAACTAGATAATAGAGATTCACAAAATAGACAGTAAATCTAGAACCCGAGTTGACAAGTAAAATTGAAACCACTATATTGCATTTCCAGATTGGGATTACATTTGGTCGCAGTTTGGTGTAGTGTTTTAGCGAGTCAAGTTTTTGGCGCAGTTGATGGGGACCAAACATGGGTCACCCGCGTGACATGCGGGAATACTTACCACTATACCAGAACGACCTCACGAGCAACTGGATTTTATTTGCAATGTTAGGCCCATCGACCCCTACATCAACACCTACAATGAGGGGTGGCGCCAACATCCTAATTTCTCCTGGAGTTGTAACAATTATCTAAGCACCCAAGATTTCAGGCACCACCGAACTTCCAGAGACCGCCATACCAAGCCCGCAAGGGCCAATTCCAGCAGCCGCAACAACCTCTTTATCCGGCCAGACAGGGGCAATCTCTTCCTAAACAACAACCAAGACAGTTTCAGCAGCAGGGCGTAGCCCTAGTACAACATGATTTGATCGATGAACTACGAGACTTGGTGGGTTCCCTTGCCAGTGTCAGCTCCCAAAATTTAGTAATATGGATTGGTTCATGGAGAAGGCATCGGGATAGTTCCTGGAGCTTGAAGCTGGTCAGAATTCCTTTGAAGCGGGTCAATAGAACACACAGGCTGTTTTGCCAGATATTCAGACCTAGGGATGGCAACAAAACCCGAACCCACGGGTACCCACCCGACCCAACCCGGTCAACGCGGGTAAAATCCGTGTTGACGGGTTTTGGGCCGGGTTTGGGTTTAAACCCGTTCACTATTTACCGGGTTGGGTTGGGTTTGGGTTTAGGTAAACCCGGCCCGTGGGTACCCGCCCACTCATATAATTAATTTTTTTCGGTATATTTAATATTCTAAACAACTATTCTTATTTATGTTTGTGGAGACATGTCTAATTTTTCTTTTTAATTGTGTAGAATGAAGTTGATGTTATGGAGTGGAGACTAAAGAAACTTAATTGAAAGAAAGAAGCTTTCAATTAAACATGTTATTTATGGATAATTTGTGATTTGCTTCAATTTTCTTGAGTTTTCTAGATTGGTGTTGAACAATTTGTATAGTTAATTTGTGATTTGCTTGAATTTTCTAGAATGGTGTTTTATATATGGATAATTTGTATTGAGAGATTGATATTTGACTTTAATTTTGATAAGAACTTGTAATTGTAAATTTTTTACGGCAAAACCCGTGGGTACCCATGAACCCGCGGATACCCAACGGGTTGGGTTGGGTTTGAGTTTTTCAAACCCGGTGGGTTTTACCCCGGGTTTTTTTCAAATATAAACCCATGGGTTTGGGTTTGGGTTTGACAAAACCTGACCCAACCCGACCCATTGCCATCCCTATTCAGACCCAGCTTGGTAGTGTGGCTAAAGTTGTGACGCAGAGGGCTCCGGGTACCTTACCTGTTCAGACCATACCTAATCCCATAGACTTGGATGCCCAATGCAATGCTGTTACTACCAGGAGCGGCAAGGTAACTAAGGAGATCCATGTGCAGGCTAGACAGGGGGAAGAGAGACTTGCTTCAACACTTCCAGAAGATGATGAAGAAATGTAGAAGGAGAAAGAGGTGTCTACTCGTAGGAAATTCCTTGAAGGATTTAGGCGCTAGCGTAAACGTCATGCCATATAAACTATTTAAGAAGCTAGGCATAGGTGATCCCAGTAATACTAGTATGAGCATTCAGTTAGCTGATCGAAATGAGGATGTGCATGTTCCCTTGATTTTGGGTTGACCTTTTCTTGCCACCGCCAAGGCACTCATTGATGTGAATGATGACAAGTTAATTTTGTGGGTTGGGGGTGAACAAATCACCTTTTATGTTTATGATAATATGAAGCATCCCCAGCTCCATGATGATGTTGATTATTGTGATGTGGTTGCTGACTATGAGACCGCACTCGCCATCACGAATGTGTGTACTAATGATTTTCTCGAGCGTTGTCTTTTGCTAGCTAGGGGACCAGGCATTACAGGAGCTGCAGTCGGCGCAGCAGCTGATAGAGTTGGAGGGAGCCGCGATCGAGGGGCAAGAGAAGCCATTCAAACCGATCCATGTTTTGCCCTGGACCGCTACATCATTGGAGGAGCCACCAGAGCTGGAGCTTAAGCCCCTTCCCTCTCATTTGGAGTATGCATTTCTCAGGGAGGAGAATAAGCTCTTGGTAATCATTAGCTCAAAACTGACCCCCGAGCAAAAGAGCAGTCTGGTGGCTTTGTTGAAGAATTATACATGGACCATGGCGTGGAAGATCACTGACATTGGAGGCATTAGCCCATCCTTCTGATCCCACAAAATTCTGATGGAGGATGAGTTTAAGCCAGCCAGGCAGCCGCAATGGAGGTTGACTCCTAACCTGGAGGTAATGGCCAGGGCAGAGATTGTGAAGCAGATGAATGGCGAGATCATCTTTGTTATATCTGATAGCAAGTGGGCCAGCCCCACTCAGGTGGTTCCGAAGAAAGGCGGGATGATTGTTGTCCCGAACGAGAATAATGAGTTGATCCCGATGCTGACTGTGATTGGGTGGTGTGTATGCTTCGACTACAGGCATCTGAACGATGCCACCAGGAAGGACCATTTCTAGCTCACTTTCATTAACGAGATGTTGGAGAGGATGGCGGGCTATGAGTTTTACTGTTTCCTGGATGGCATGCCGAGTACTTTCAGATCTCGATCGCACCGGAGGACCAGGGGAAGACCACTTGGTCTTTGTGATGCACCGGCAACCTTCCAATGATGTATGATGGCTATCTTCGACCGATTGGTTGGAGAGTTCATGAAAGTCTTCATGGATGACTTCTCGGTTTATGGAGACTACTTCTCTCGTTGTCTCCATAACCTTGAACTTGTCATGAAGAGGTGCGAGGAGACAAACTTGGCACTTAGCTGAGAGAAGTGTCATTTCATGGTTCGCGAAGAAATTGTGCTCACGCACAAGATCTCAAAGCAGGGGATTGAGGTAGATCAGGCGAAGATAGAGACGATCAGTAAGCTACCTCCTCCTATTTTTGTGAAGGGGATCCGCAGCTTTCTAGGTCATTCAGGCTTCTACCGACAATTAATCAAGGATTTCTCGAATATCGCCTTGTCTTTGACCAAACTTCTAGAGAAAGATGTATCATTCCACTTCACTCCAGAGTACACATCTGCATTTGAGACATTGAAGGAGAAGCTTACCCATGCACCATCATGGTGACTCCGGATTGGTCTCTCCCATTTAGCTGATGTGCGATGTGAGTGACTATGTAGTCGGAGCTGTTCCTGGTCAGAGGATTTCCGAACCCCGGGTGGTCTTGAATTAAGGATAGGGTGTCGTTGCATCTAGGGGTGGAAATTGGGGTGGGTGTGGTTACCCGCCCCACATTTTGCGGGTACCCGCATCCACAAATTTACAATTATGCTATCCACAATCCGCACCGCAGTGGTTAGTGGGTAACCACTACCCACTGTGGGTTTGTGCGGGTTGGGTGTGGTTACCCGCAAAAATCCATCTTTGCAAGCATAGAGTTCTAGTCGCCACTAACGTATTTTTTGTTCGTAACTAGATTATAGTGATATACACTTGTGTTGTTCGTGGAGATACAATTTTGTACATCGATCTTACTCAACATGGAGATTTTTTCTTTTGAGTTTGGTATTCTACTTTTGTGTCAGAGAGCTGTGATTTCATATTTCCCCGACTAGGGGTGAAATATGACAATTAAATATGATCTTGTATTTTTTTTCGCACAAAAGAAAAAACATACTGATAAAAGTTATACAAGGTGTTCACTTTTAATGAATTGATTATTCTCCACTCTATCGATTATAATGTTTTATAAACTAAAAATTCTTACATAAAACTTATTAGGTGTGTCTTTCTTATTTGGTGGCTACTTTAATTTTTATCCTCGCACTTTTCACATACTATTATATATAAAGTTAATTCACTAAATAAATATAATAAGTGTGGTTATTGTGAATTTTGTGGGTTATCCGCGGTAGGTAGTGGATAACCACTAACCACAAAAATCGTTATTTTACTACCCACACTCAACCCACTACCTACAACTTGTGGGTATGGTTACCCACAATATGTGCGGGTTGGTGCGGTTTACGGATTATCCACAACCCGCAACCCAAACTTCCACCTCTAGTTGCATCCATTTGATATAAAAAAAAAATGTCGCCCAAATTATCAAGCATCTCGCAAATCAACCCCAGGTCTGCTTTTGGAACTTATTTACTTGATTGTACGAATTAAGTGTAGAAGGATTTTTCACGCTTGATTTGCATAGCCTCATCAGCGATATAATATTTTATATTGAAAAAATTGTTCAATTATTTCACACCGCTATATACCACCTATTGATTAAGCATCCGATAGGAAATTTTTCTAATCGAATTGGTTTTCATTACTCGGTTCTTCCGGGGTTTTGATGTCTCTTTCTCGTTCCGGAAATAGTCTGCTCCTGTCCATGTTTGCTCTTTATCCTGTGAAAAAAGAGGGCTGCCAGGGGCGCCTTTGTGGCATCTTTTGTTGTCGGTTCAATTCCGGTGTTTAGATTGATTTGAACCCTGGTGCTATGCGCCCTCTTGTATTTTTCGATATCCTGACTGTTCGTCAGGATGTGCTTAAAGAAAGATGAGATAACTGTCGGGACTGTGTAGCCACGAGATGATGAATAGGTTTGTTCGCATACCTACCGACGAAACAATAAGAAAAAGATGTATAGTTTGGAGAATTGAGAGTCAGTGGTATTACCACTATGTCAAGCCCTTGTTCATAACTCGACCCATGCGTCTTGAGGCCAAAGAAGTTTTCAGCGGAGCGAACCTAGAAATGAGAATTCTACAGTGCTTTCTTGATTCTTCTTGTCTGTGCAATTGAGACTCGATCGTTAGCCTTGTATTGGATGCTGCTGTTCACATATCAGTCCAATGCCACTATCTCAGCCAGCTGAATATTGCCACTTAAAGCAGATGCCTTGTGGGGTGGCATGAATGAGAACCCGTCAAGAAGCTTTGAGCACTTCAACCTCCATTTTGCCATCAACAACTCGATTAGATGATGCCCACTGCATACATCATCTCTCCCAGAAAAGCCAATTAGTCCCTGGCTAACTAATGCACAAGCACAAACACAACACGGCAGAGCCACCAAAGATGCAGAGACAGACAGACAGACAGCAACGATGGGCCATACAAATCAAATACCTCCGGTTATGATAAGTTGTTATGAACACAGAGCCTGGAGAATTCTGAAGCAGATATGCCACAGTCGCAAAGAGGTCATTGAATGCTATACCCAATACCAACCAAAACTCAACTCAGTTCCAATCAAAAGGGCTAACTGCATAGAGTGGATCAACAAACAAGAAGAAGATTACCAGTGGTTTCGTAAAGAACATCAGCTCCTAGGATGAACTTGGGCTCCAAATCGAAAACAGACGAGTCCCACACTCCCCATGTAAGTCCTACCACCTACCGGGAGGAAACCGTTACCGATTCCTAACATTTTCTGGGTAAAAGAGGAGCGAGCAAGAGATTGGAAAATGGGAATGGGCTTACTTTGCAATCAACTCCATTAAGCTCACACACCCTCCCCATGTTGTCCAGCACCTGCTCAAATACTGCAACTGCTACTTCAACTGAAAAGGCGGGGAAATTGAAATGTAAGAATTTATCTCTCTCAACTCGCTCCCACACACACACACACAAACCTCTGGTCTGTTGGCGTCGTCGGTGAGAGTGACATGGGAACCCAGCTTAGCGGCCACCAATCCTGGCAGTGACGTCCCCGCCCCAAGCTGCCAAAATATCAAAATTGAGGTGGGATCAGTTAGAAGAAGCGGAGAGAAAATGGGAGGAGGAGCCGGAAATCACCTCCACCACTCTGGCGCCGGAGAAGCGCCGCCGCTGTTGCCATACATACTCGGCCAGTATTACGCTGCACGGCCAAACAAACAGCCCGTACTCCTCTTTCATGTTCTGAACAAGTTCCTCCGTTACATCTTCTCAAGAGTGTCGAATCCAACTGTGTATACTCGATTCAACAAAGAAAACAAATCACCTCGATAATTGAGATGGAGAGTGGCGCATCTTCGCCGCCGAATTCATGCTGGGAGACCTTCTTCATGTCCGATTTCCCAGCCCCACCGCCCTTGGTGGTTTCCATCTCCGCCCACACAGAACGTCGACTCCCTCGCTCTTGTTCTATTTTAGGTTAATGATATTTGGAGTAGGGTTAGAAATAGAATGATAGGTTTAGGATTAATATACTTCCCTTTGCCCGAACTTTTCTCATTCTGTCCAAACTTTTGGGGTGTGCCTACGGTGACGTGCATGTTACGGTGATTTGCACTTTCCGGTCGACCTCGGTTAGGATTAAGTCGACCTCATTTAGGATATGGTCGACCACATTTAGGATCAGGTCGACCTAATCTGTTGTTTCAGTGTAAAAACAGTTCATGGTGCCTACTTTGGATATTTATATCATACAATTGGCTAGATGGAAATTTAAGACTAATGACTTGTTTTGAAGCTGGAGTGTCCCTCTACATATTGAAGTGAAAGAGAGCTCGATAGGAAGTCCAGAAGACCATTTTTTAACCTCATCAAAAGGCTATGCCAAAACTGGGAAACTGCCTGGAAATGGCTAAGTCTGGAAACATGTTTGTGAAGCCTATTTTGGAGCTCAATTCGAGAAGCATGAATGCGAGTCGAGTCTAGGAGCCTCTACCACGTTAAATTAGGTATGTTTTTATACAAATTCAAGGCATTGGATGAAAGATTGGATATCTTTAAGGCTTCAAACAAAAGGGTCGAAGTTGCTACGAAGGCTTTTTTCTGGCAGACTTCGAGCACAAGCAAGCTGCCAGAAAAACAGCCTTCGTAGCAACTTCGAGCCTTTTGTTTGAAGCCTTAAAGATATTCAATCTTTCATCCAATGTCTTGCCTTTGTATAATAAAATACGTAATTTAACGTGGTAGAGGCCCTGGACTTACTCGCATCCATGCTTCTCAAATTGAGCTCCAAAGTAGACTTGACAAACACGTTGCCAGACTTAGCCATTTTCAGGCAGTTTCCCAGTTTTGGCATTGCCTTTTGGTCAGGTTCAAAAATGGTCTTCTTGACTTTCTATTGAGCATCCAAGTACTTTAATGTGTAGAGGGACACTTCAGCTTCAAAACAAGCATTTAGGGGTCGTTTGAAAGTTGCGATTGTTAGTGTTGTATTTGTTAAATACATGTATTGTCCACAATACAACGTTTGGAAGTGTCAAGTTGCAAAAGAATGCATGTATTGTTTTGTGTGGGTCCCACCAACAATCAACAAAAATGAGGGATTGTACAATCTCAACTAAAAGTTTAGATTGTTATGATTGTTGGTTTAATAATTGAGCACCTTTACTTTTTCCAATTATGTACATAGTTCTTTTTGTTTTATATTAAAAGTGGAGGACAAATATGACATTTTCTTATAAAGTAACTTTATAACAATCCATTCATAAATTATAATCTCAACAACCAAACAATGTAATTTCAAAATGCATCTATTGTATCAATGCATACATTTATATCACAATGATTCATAACAATACAACGATTTAACATACGTAACTTCCAAACGACCCATTAATCTCCAATTTCCATCAAGCCAATTGTAAGATATGAATCTCCAAAGTAGGCACCATGAAACTGTATTTACACTGAAACAACAGATTAGGTCGACCTAATCCTATATGAGGTCGACCGAAAAATGCATGTCACCGTGACATGCATGTCACCGTAACAAAGTCCCAAACTTTTTAGTAATTAAGGCCCTGTTCACTTCCATTTTCGTTTCCTGTTTTCATGTCATAAATTTGGCAACCAAAACGAGATAACTTGTTTATTTTAATTCTGTTTTCTATTCGTTTCCAACTATGAAAATAGAAAGTGGCAACTTCCTACTGTTTTCGGAAACGACGAAATGTTGTTTTCACCTGTTTTCAACATCTGTTTTCTCAAAACATGAAACAGAAATGAAAGTAAACAGAGCCTAACATTGTGGTCTAAAATATTCCTACATTTTTCAATTTTGATGGTGAAACCCGCCATGTCACCACCAATTCAGCATCTTTTAACTTAAAATAATCAAATTTTCCACATAATCCCATTTATTTTTTATTTTTATCCAAATTATAAAAAAACAAAATCGACCCACTTTATTATATCGCAGAATAATTGCCCCCCACCCCCAAATTCGAATGCCCTAATTCCTTCTACTCTCCAGCTCGTCCCCGACCTTTAGCATTGTCAAGAATATTATAGAGGCGACCTGTTCCTTTGTGTCGTCGTCGTACTCATATCATATCTGACCCCCAAGTTTCTAGCGAGAAGCAGGCATGTCAAGGAAAAGCGAAAAAATCGGCGGCGAGGGTTCCACCTCTTCCGGTTCGACTAACACAACTATGATTCGATGTGAAGTTCACAAAGCTCCACGCGTGGTGAATATCTCTCGCACAAGCACAAATTCGGGAAGAATGCTGAAATCCCTCTTTGCTACTCGAGTGAGAAAGTGACTTGCTGGGAGATATGATGAATTGGTGGGTGTTAATCACATGTTTATTCTCTGTAGGATCGTAGTAAGAGCATTCGCTTCTTCTAATGGGTTGATAAAAAATCTGAAACTGAAAGTGACTCGTTGGTCGATGGATTAATGGAGGAGAACTATGAGCGAAAGTTGAAGCTAGGTGATATGGAAGCATTGGAAGGGTGTGTCCGCAGAGGAGAATAGAAGGTCGGGAAAAGGAAACAAGAGAAGGTTGTGATATTAGAAGACTTGACCAAGGTTTAAGAATTGAGTGCAACAAGTTGTATAGAATTGCGAAAGATGAGACAGACGATTTGTGCCCTTCAAAGGAGGATGACATTCTGCTTCTTTTGTGTACTCTTATTAGTCGTGATTGTGCTTGTGTTTTCACTATTTCCTATGTAATCGATGTTTGACATTGAACAACACAATGGATGTTGACATTTTGTTGCTTTTGTGTACTCTTCTTAGGAGTTGTTGTGTTTGTAATTTCAGTATTTCATATGTAATGGATGTTTGAACGATTTAAAGAAAGTTAGCATCATCCAATAACTCCTAACGTATTCATATATCACCATCCAATATGAAACATGTCCTAGCATGTATAAAAAGAGGATCATTCATGCTTAGGGATGGCAATGGGTCGGGTCGGGGACAGATAGTGCATATCCGCTACCCTACCCAAAGTAGTTCGGGTTTTACCCATACCCATACCCACATAAGAAACGGGTAGAAAATTTAAACCATGCCCATACCCATTCGGGTTTCGGGTATCCACGGTTATCCATGGGTAATAGTTTCTCTTTATAACTCCAACCAATATGTTAATATTGACACGTATTCTCACGTTACCTAAGACAAAAAGTACGACAATAATTCGCTAGAATGAAGAAAATTAATTAAAACAACACAATTTTATAAAACTATTATATGTATATGCTAAATATAAAATATGCAAGATAAAAATATTGATTATTTCTAGACAAAATACATATGCATGTGTATAATCGGGCGGGTTCGGGTTGGATAGTGAGAAAACCATGCCCACCCATTACCCGCAATATTCGGGTTCGGGTTTTACCCGTACCCACTAAAAGACCTTCGGATTCGGGTTTTACCCTACAAGATTAGGTCGGATTCGGGCGGATATCCACGGTTACGGATATTATTGACATCCCTATTCATGTTACCATAATGGCGAAACCTAGGTACCTAACAGAAAAGGAATATTCTAGCATGTACAACTCCTTCGATCATTCCAGCTAACAAGTTTCCAAAATATGAGTACCTAACAAAAGAGGGCCATTTCTACTACTCCGCATCAGACTTTACATAATTGGAAACAAGTCCTTTTAGTTCCTAACAAATGTGTGGAGCTTCCTACGGGCAAGTTATATATCTTATAGTTCCCTAGGGCCACTCATGCTGAGTAGTAGGCAGTTGTGTAGCATTGATTGGAGGATTGTCTGGCATAGTGGCTTGTACACCACGTCGCGAAACCCTTTCACTTAGCTGCCAAAGACGATCACAAGAAAACGTAAGATGCAAAAATGGAGTAGAACAGAATGTAACATGAGATAGTTTGAGTTACACTTACCCTATCATACATGTTGCCAAGATAGGGCCAATATATCTTCCAAACCCTTGTTGTGCCCTTCTCATTTCCCTATTCGTTACCTTCCATTTAATGAGCCAACATGTGGAGCCTACGCATTGTAAGCATGTAGTTTTAGGAAGGCCAACACTCTGGCACCGGAGAAGCGCCGCTGCTGTTGCCAAATATACTCGGCCAGTATTACGCTGCACGACCAAACAAATAGCCCGTACTCCTCTTTCATGTTCTAAACAAGTTCCTCCGTTACATCTTCTCAAGAGTGTCGAATCCAACTGTGTATACTCGATTCAACGGGTAAAATACCTTGGATGTCACTAAAGTATAAGAATTGGGGGAGCTATACCACTAAAGTTAGAATAGGGCGTCGGGTACCACTAAGGTTACTGAATTGTGCATCCGTTTAAAATTCCGTCCATCTACCGTTAAACGAGAATAAAATATTATTTTTTGACAAAAAAGTAAAGAATTTTATAAAACAAAAGGGAAAAATTAAAATACAAAAAACAAAACGAAAAAACGTATCCCTCTTCCAAATCTCCATAGCATCGCCGCCGTCCTCCTCCTGAACTCCTCGATTCCTCCACTTCACTTCCATATCGACCAAGAACCTCCAACAGTTCATCGATCCACACCTCATTCCTCGCCCAAGCGAAATGAATAGATAGCCTGGCATTCCCCAAAATGGAATGTTACTTCACATCACGAATGAAATTCACCATCTCCCCTCAGATAAAAAAACTAAGGAGAATTATAAGAATCCATACACTGATACAAGTGTTTAATTTAAATTCATCTCTAACGGAGAATGTCCCGAAGCTTGCAGGTGAGATCCTCAGACTTATAAAGGTTCATCGGATTATTGGGAGCCAAAACTCGATTCTCTGAGTTCTTCAAGTGAGTCGTCTGCTGCTACTTGATCGGCCGTGATACCCCGCTCGATTCCATCTTCCGCTGCACAACGGTAAGAGCGCCCTCTCAACGTTCCCGACGCACACCCTCACCTGTATCCCCAGAGACTTCTTGATCGACATGAAAGTAATTAGTGAAGTGGAGAAAGCGAGGAGGCCAGGACGGCGACGACGGCGCGATGCTACGACCATTTGGAAGAGGAAACGTTTTATGTTTTTGCTTTAATTTTTCCTTTTGTTTTGTATAATTCTTTATTTTTTTGTCAAAAAAATAATATTTTATTCTTGTTTAACGGTAGATGAACGGAATTTTAAACGGATGCACAATTCAGTGACCTTAGTGGTACCCGACGCCCTATTCTAACTTTAGTGGTATAGCTCCCCCAATTCTCATACTTTAGTGGTATCAAAGATATTTTACCCTCGATTCAACAAAGAAAACAAATCACCTCGATAATTGAGATGGAGAGTGGTGCATCTTCGCCGCCGAATTCATGCTGGGAGACCTTCTTCATGTCCGATTTTGCAGCCCCACCGCCCTTGGTGGTTTCCATCTCCGCCCACACAGAACGTCGACTCCCTCGCTCTTGTTCTATTTAGGTTAATGATATTTGGAGTAGGGGTTAGAATAGAATGATAAGTTTAGGATTAATATATTTGCCTTGCCCGAACTTTTCACATATTTAACATCATGTACAATTTTTTTAGTAATTAACATTATGGTCTAAAATATTCTTACATTCTTCAGTTTTGATGATCAAACCTGTCACTTCTTCGCCAACTCAGCATATGTAGGATAATAGTAAGAACTGCCGCTTCTTTTAGGGGTGGGCATTCGGTCGGTTCGGTTTCGACCGAACCGAAATTATGAATACCGGGTCCCCGAATTCTCCCAAACCTCAAACCGAATTATAATTCGGTTCGACTTTTCACACAAAACCGAATTTGTGAAGCTACTTATATTTTCTCACTTTTAAATTATTTTTAACCCCTAATATAAACAATAAACATCAATTATATGCATCATCAATAATAAAATCAAACTTTTTAACACATAAGTCATAAAACATTTCAAATATTTAAGTCTAAAAACAACTACAAACATAAAAATCCACTATTTGGAGCTTTAAATTATAGTTTTTCGGTTTTTCGGTCGGAAATTCGGTTCGGTTGAAAGAACCCTGATTTCCGAACTATCCATATTTTCCTTCCAAATTCCGAACCGAATAGCATTAATTCGGTTTCGGTTCGGGTTTACTGAACCGTTTGCCCACCCCTAGCTTCTTTCGATGGGTTGATCGATCAGAAACCTGAAAATGAAAGTGACTCGTTGGTCGATGGATTAATGGAGGAGAACTATGAGCTGAAGTTGAAGCTAGGTGTTATGGAAGCATTGGAAGGGCGTGTCCGTAGAGGAGAAGAGAAGGCCAGGGAAAGGAAACAAGAAAAGACTGTGATATTAGAAGACTTGACCAAGGTTTCAGAATTGAGTGCAGCAAGTTGTATAGAATTGTGAAAGATGAGGCAGACGATTTGTGCCCTTCAAAGGAGGATGACATTTTGCTTCTTTTGTGTACGCTTCTTAGTAGTGATTGTGCTTGTGTTTTCACGGTTTCCTATGTAATTGATGTTTGACATTGAACAACACAATGGATGTTGACATTTTGCTGCTTTTGTGTACACTTCTTAGGAGTTATTGTGTTTGTAATTTCAGTGTTTCTTATGTAATGGATGTTTAAATGATTTAAAGAAAGTTAGCATCATCCAATAACTCCTAGCATATTCATATATCACCATCCAATATGAAACATGCCCTAGCATGTACAAAAGAGGATCATTCATGCCCATAACGCCAAAACCTAGGTACCTAACAAAAAAGGAATGTTCTAGCATGCACAACTCCTTCGATCATTCCAGCTAACAAGTTTCCAAAATATGAATACCTAACAAAAAAGGGCCATTTCTACTACTCCACATCAGACTTTGTATAATCGGAAACAAGTCTTTTTTGTTCCTAACAAAAGTGTGGAGCTTCTTAGGAGCAAGTTGTATATCTTATAGTTCCCTAGGGCGACTCAGGCTGAGTAGTAGGCAATTGTGTAGGATTGACCAGAGGATTGTCTGGCATAGTGGCTTGTATACCACGTCGCAAAACCGTTTCACTTAGCTACCAAAGACGATCATAAGAAAACATAAGATGCAGAAATGGAGTAGAACAGAATGTAACATGAGATAGTTTGATTTACACTTACCCTAGCATACATGTTGCCATGATAAGGTCAATATATCTTCCAAACCCTTGTTGTGCCCTTCTCATTTCCCTATTTGTTACCTTCCATTGGATGAGCCAACATGTGGAGCCTACGCATTGTAAGCATCTAGTTTCAGGAAGGCCAACATTCACATCCAAATCGAGTTATCCTATACCATACACATCAAACCAAATTACCTGGATGCCAATATTCGTAGGGTACCTTCTACAATTGTGGTGCTCCGACCCACAACTAGAGTAGTGGTGCTTTTTCCTTTGTCTTGGCTGAAATTTTAACCAAAAATTAGTTAAATCTCAGGAATCAGTTGTAAATAATTAGCTAAATACTACCATCAATCAAGCATTTTCACTCACTTTATTTGGAGAAACCTCTTTACGACTTGGCTGGGTTGTTGGTTGCATCTTTCTCCTTGGTTTCTTTGTTGGTGGTGTTGTTGTCCTGGCTGCAATAGCTTCATTCTTGCAAGTTCTGTTGTTATGTCCCTCCTCTCTACTTTTCTTGCAATGGATGATGAGGCTGTGTTGAGAAGCAACTTCCTCGGTTCCATCTTTGGGTCAATACTTAATAGTACTATTGTTTTTTTCTCAAGCTTACTTTTGTGTTATGTTATACATCAAACTTGACCTTCTACTATTACCATGATATCAAAACTATCCTTCTGTTACATTTTTTGTCCGATTTCTGTCAACTCTAGTAGAGACCACGGTTTGGTATGCTCCAAAGTTATTTCTACCCCTGAGAAACTTGAGCTTCTTTTATGAGTTTTATCTGTCGTCTGCCAAAAGGAAACATTACATATGGAGAACCGTTCAGAAAACTTTGCAGCTCCAGCCTTCAAAGAAAAGAACTCGCGCAAATCATAATCTCCATCTTTGCCCTCCTCTTGTGAACGACCCAACGACAATCTCCTCTAATGGTGAACAACATGGTGAGTAGTTCTTCGCGATGTTGTACAGAGGGCGCAGAGTTATCCCTAAATTCAAATTCCAAAATGCGGGACCCTAATTTTAGAACATTCTCAAGTTCAAAAATTTAAAGTAAGCATTTAATTTCTTGCACTGCTCCATAAAACACCAAGCAATGATATGTAAGGGATGGACGGGGACAATAATTGCGAAGAACCTGTAACACTTGTCCTTAATTGTAAATAAATAAAAATAGATTTTATAGATAATAGAAAAATAGAGGACCATTCTTGATATTTTCCCAATGGGTATATAATCCTGCTCTGTAACAGCCTAACGGCTATGCGAAATCAATAACGGCTTTTCCCCCTTTTACTCTCTCTACTTTCCTTTCTCTCTGTTTCTCAGCTACCAATCATCACCAAGACGACCCAGGACACCACAAATCGGTATCAGAGCCTTGTCTTGGCTCCATGACTACTGTATGCTAGCTTGACAATCGCCTCAATGCGTTCTCCACTCGTACGATTAAAGTCGAATCCGCCCTCAGCACTTGTTGATGCCGGGTTGTAGCCGACGTCGAGTTTTTTTATGTTGGGCTTCAGATTCAGTCGACTACCACCTTTCACCTTGAACTTCTCTCGTGATGTAAGCTCCAGTCACCTCCTGCAAAAACGTTATGTCGGTCGATCTCGACGAGGACACTCTCCGATGCTCAAGTTAGTACGTGGGTTGAGGGGAGAGGAATATGATCTTGAAATGAAAGATGAGGGAATGGAGTTGAGAATGAATATATGCGCTAATCATAGAGAGAGTTCCCCAGTATAGGTATGGGGATATATGAAGTGGCCTTTTATAAAGACCTCTTAGGGAACATGAAGGGGGTATGTGTCTACATCTGGAGCTTGATGGTATGGAGAGGGGACACGTTACAGAGGTACGTGTCCAACAGTGCTGAGTGGCCTACGGTGGACGGAGTGAGCCCAAGGTGGTCGAGGTGACCCGGGGTGGCCGAAATGACCCCAAGGTGACGTGAGGTGATTGACTCCGGGGTGGCCGAAATGACCTCAAGGTTACGCGGGGTGATTGACCCTAGGGTGGCCGAGGTGACCCAAGGTTATTGAGCCCGGGGTGTCCGGAATAATCGCTAGGTTACACAGGGTGATTGACCCCGGGGTGGCCTGAGTAACCCGAAGTTATTGACCCCGGGGTGGCCGGAATAACCGCTAGGTTACCCAGGGTGATTGACCCCGGGGTGTCCTGAGTGACCCGAAGTTATTGACCCCGAGGTGGCCGGAATTACCCCTAGGTGGCCCAGGGTGACTGACCCTGGGGGTGGCCAAAATGACCTCAAGGTGACACGGGGTGATTGACCCTAGGGTGGCCGAAATGACCCCAAGGTGACCCGGTGTGATTGACCCCGAGGTGGTTGAGGTGACCTGAGGTTATTGATGTCGAGGTGGCCGAAATGACCCAAAGCTGGCCCGAGTTGATTGACCCCCGGGTGGGCGGTGTGACCCCAAGATGGGCTAGGTGACTCGAGGTGATTGACCCCTAAGTGGCCGAAGTGACCCCAAGCTGACTCGGGGTGATTGACCCCGGGGTAGTCGGAGTGACCCCAAGGTGACCCGTGGTGATTGACCATGGGGGTTGGAGTGACCCTAGGGTGGGCTAGGTGGCCCGAGGTGATTGACCCCAGGGTGGCTGCAGTGACCCAAGGTGACCCAAGATGATTGACCCCGCGGAAGTCAAAGTGACCCTAAGGTGACCTAGGGTGATTGACCTTGGGGTGGGCTAGGTTCCCCGAGGTGATTGACCCCGAGGTGGCCGGAGGGTCCCCAAGATGACCCTAGGTGATTGACCCTGGCGGGTTGGAGTGACCCCAAAGTGACCCGGAGTGAGATTGTCTCCGTCTAATAAAATAAAATTTTACTTAGAGTCCACTAGTTGCCCTCTTTGCCGGTGAGAATTCCAATTTTATCGAGATTTCCCATCACTAATTCTATCCTTATGAGGAAAGAGGGAAGGCTTATACGCCGTGGGTGAAAGGAAATCTGGAAAGTCTGGTTCTGCCTCCATCGTCTTTAATCTTATTTCTGCCGACTCATCTTTGTGACCGGTGATGTTCTACCATATCTCCAATTTCAATTTCTTATTGCTTAACCTGATCGTTCCTCTCTATTCTTGAACGATTTCTTCGGATTGATTTGTCTATTGAAGTACGTTTCAATATTCTTGTTCTGCTAGGACTGATTGGGGGTTTTCTGATTGATTTTGGTTGCTCAACTGATTGTTAGGATTAGATTATGTCTTGGTTTGTGCTAATTTTCCTCTCTTTGATTTGTTGCATCCAGGATGTTCCTTTGTGTAACTCTGTTTTGCAGGATGTTCCATTGTGTTCAGTTGAGAAAATTTCCCCCAGGGGCGCCCTCCTCTCTGTTTCCGATCAAGTTTCCGGTGGAATACCTCTCCGACATGCATTAATGGAGGGGTCTACAATTTACGGTAACTTTTGAATAATTGAGTCTTTTCCTAATTATCAACAAGAAATTAATCGTAATCTTTATTGGCCCCTTTGTGGGTCAATTCAAATTAGAGAGGTTATCCCTCATTTATGCCTTATATATTATAATTATAATTTTTATTATTTGAACCCCATTGGCTGGCTCTCTTTCCTTTTTGGTTCAAGCGCTAATCGAGCAATATTAAACCACCAGTATTTAGCATCTTTAAGGCGGTTTAATTTGTTTCCCTCGAATTTATTTTCATTTCATTGATTGTGACTGTACTGCACTTTACAAGAGGTGAATAGTATCGTTGGTGGTGCATTTTCGAGAAGATCGACTTTGTCTCACGGACAAGATTTAATCTCGTATGATAGAGATTTTTAGCACCATAGTTCTGCCCTTTTTGTTGGTCATTTTGTCGGTGCTCATTTGGGTTGAAAATAATTGAAGAAAGTGAAATAAGTTTCATCGATCTAGCAGGTGATAGTTCGATTTTATTCGCTTTCGTAAATTTATGAGAGTAATTAAGCATGCTTTATCGAATATTGCTGATGTCCTTTTCTTTTATTTGTTGTGAATTTTTGTGGCAACTCGATACTGGTCATCCGGCATACTCCGTCGAAGGAAACTACACTCGCTGGCGGGACTATCTTGGAGATGTTGTTTTTTTTTCCTCCGTCAGTGTCGTGTCTTTGCTCCTCGGAGCTTCTTCAGAGCTGCCCAAGTAGTGGTGTATCAGGCTCTTTCATCGTAGTATGAAATAATGCCAATAAAGCATAAAAGAATACTAAACATAATCAAGGTCTAAATAAGCATATTGGTTAAATAATTACGAAATTCATAGAAAATATGATAAAAACAATTAAATATGCACTGGTAGAAAGGAAAATGTATCAAATATAGGGAGTTGAAAATACTATAATTTGAGTGTTATCATAAAGAATACAATCATGATCTTCGGACCAGGTAAATTTGCATCTAAGTAATACATGCACTCATTTTCTCTTTCCTTTTTATGTGTTTTCCTCCCCCCCCACCCCCACCAAGCATGAAGTAATAACCTTATCCTAGGGTTTTGCATGTAATGGATCAAACTGTTTGATTTTCGTGAATTTTGATTGAATTGATGTGCTTAATGCCTTACCATGTATAATTGATGTGGTATCGATCGTGAGGCTTGACCTAGAGTAGATGACCATTCACCAATAGAAGCTTACTTAATCGATTCAAAATTTGAATAATTACATGACCATTGAGTTATTTGAATTGTGTGCTTATGGGTAAACTCATTTAAAGATGATAATTGTTTCTCTATGTATGTTGCTCAATTACATGATTGTTAGGTTGATTTCCATATCCGAAATTAGTTGCATGACCATTGACCCAAATTGTCTCATTAGTGATCCTCACACCTTGAATCAATGTAATTGAACCATTGCTTGTCCATTGCAAGGAAATTCCTAATGTGTTAGGGAAGGGCTTCAAATGAATGCAAATATAATCAAAATCAATCTTTGATAATATAACAATAGGATAATCCGGAGAATTTCTTGTGCAAATTATGTCAAGTTCAACATCCCATGATTGTCCTCTTGTAAAATCAATTGATTTTGTAGCCTCTTGTAAAAAAGTACCTCTCGGAGGGGGTTGTCGAGGGATACGGTGGTGGAGAACTACCCAAAGGGTGTGATTAATGCAGGGGAAGACATGAACGACGGAGGTGGTGGAAGAGGCGGGCTTGGATTTGAGCTTTCATAGCGTAGCTGGTGGGCAAGGAAGAAGAAGAATGTTTGTGTAGTACAATTACTAAGGTTGGTGGTGGTGATTGAAGAGTTAAGGCGGAGGAGGAGGAGCGGTGGAAGCAAGCACAATTTTTGTTTGTTTTGCATAGATAAATAAATATCAAATAAATGTTTATTTTGCAATTGGTGTGACATTGAAATGACACTAAAATAAAATAGTAGTCAAATAAACGACACCTCATCAATTTATGTGTTGACCGTTAACTGTTAGCGATTAAAGTTAATCGAAATGAAGGTCATGATAATATTGTTGTTAGAAAAATTAGTGATAAAATTTCACTTTTTAAAAAGTCCGAGTGTTGTCTTAATATTTGGGCAAAATACAATTGCAGCATAGTCACAATTTTCACGTTTGTGACAGATATAGCCACAATTTTTTATATATACGAAATAGCCAAAATTTTTATAGTTGTTTGACAAATCTAGCCATTTCCGTTACAAACTTTAACAGTGTTAGAGATTCCGTCAGTTAGATTAACGACACGATGACTAGGATACCAAATTGACACACACATCAACGACAATTCAACCTCACTTGCCACGTAGATGCCACGTCATAATTTACTTTAAAATATTTTAGGCAAAATACACTTTCATAACCACAACTTTCACGTTTGTGACAGTGTTAGCCACAACTTTCACGTTTGAGACCATAATAGGCTTATAGCCACATGTTTTGAAATACAAGAATTAGCTAAATTTTTTTATGATTTTTGACAAATCTAGTCATTTTCGTTACAAACTTTCAAAATACACGAAGCAGTCACGATCATGTCCTTGATTTCTTCTCTCTATTTGAGAGGGAATGCAATGAATCGACTGTGACGAATCAGGCTTCAGCGAAAACAAGAACAACCACAACAACAATGGTTTCGAAGAATTAGAGGGGGAAATGCACCACTAGCCGCCACATCCTTTCTTCTCGACCCATCGGTCTCTATCGCCACCGAAGACACCGTCTCCTCTTTCACCACCGCCGTCGATGCCTTCTTCTTCGCGGCAGTCGTCGAGCTTCTTCCCAGCAACCTTATTGCCCTCTTTCTCGCCGTTTTTCTGTGACTCCACCAAACTTCCGATGCCTTCTTCTTCAATATAGCGATTGTGGATTTTAATTGGCAATTTGGGAAATAAGGCCCCCCTTCTCCAGTCATATTGTTAAGGACACCATTAAAAAGATGAATGAAAGTGGTTATTTTGTGTATTTCGAAAGTTGTGGCTATAATTGTAAAAAATGTGAAAGTTGTCACTATGAAAGTGTATTTTGTTTTTTTTATTAATCGACGTGGATCGCCAACTCAACATTTTCGTCAGTCCAGTCATACTATTAACAGCCTGTTTGGATACAATTCTGGAAGAAATGGAAATGGAAATGGAATTCAATTTTTTATTTTTATAGAATTCCATTTCCAATTCTAGTGTTTGGTATAATTCCTACAACTATGGAAATGAATTGCACTTTTAATCATAATGAATAATGTAATATGTTTGTTTTATTTTGGGAAATGAAATATGAATGAGAGAGAAAGAGAGTAAAATGATAGTGGGTCAACAAAATAATAAAAAGTATTGATGGGTCCCACTAATTCCATCTTCAATCTCTCAATTCCTATCACTTTTGATAGGAATTGTAATTCCCATATTTTAGACCCATTGGAATTCAATTCTCAACCTTTTTATTATTCCAAACATAATATATGGAAATGGAATTTCAATTCCTTACTTTTTTGTCAGTCCAGTCATACTGTCAAGTGATACCATTTAAGAGATTGATGGAAATGGCTATTTGTGTATTTAGAAAGTTATAGCTACCACTGTCACTTTTTTCAAAATTTGAAAGCCTATTTTGCCTAATATTTGTAAAAAAACAATAAAACAAAATAATGGGGGGTGATATATGCGATGAGATATAGTATAGGAGTCGTCAAGACCTAGGTCAGGAGTGCGATAGTGTTCGAGTCTTGGAAAGAATTAGTAAGGGTTTCATTTCATATCATATCATTCAAAGGGTTGTCTTCGTGCTCCGTCAGGGACGGCTTCCTCCTGTTCGTACGCCCCTTAATCTTCTTCCATCTTTGCCATTGCCAGAGTATCGTTTCATAAATCATCACCGCCCATCTCGATTGTTGGATGTTTTTTTCTTTCTCTCTTTCTGGGGAGATAAAGTGAAGAACGCGTAAGTTGGAAGTCCTTCAATCCAGAACCCCAGAGCCAGAGGTAACTACCTTTTCCTTGCATAGTTTAGTTGTCTCCTGCTATTATCCTTGCAGTCCATTGGCGCTTATTCTCGATCGGTGAGGTCCTGTATTACTTTTGTTTTGAGATTGCTGCTTTTGAGCTTTGTCTTATTGAACTGTCTGTGATTGACTTATCTGGGAGACCTCTAAAAGCCATCGAAACGAACCCCTCTTTAATTCCGAACTTCCCCTCCTCTTGGCTGGCTCTCTATCCTTACCTTATATTTTCCTCGGTTAGCTTGTTCTCTTTCTTAGATGTCCCGTCCATTTTCTCCTGTTTGGTAATTTCCGGCTGCCGCCTGAGCCCTGAGCCAGGGTAACTCCGCCTGTATCGGTTAAACTGAAGCAAGAAAAACCCCAGTGAGTTTCTGGTTCCACATTTAGTTTTGATCAATTTCATGGCCGTTTACGTCACTAGGAATCTAATTGCTTTGGCTTTCACTTATTGAACTCTTTGAAAGGTGTAACTTGGTGGTGGTGCGGGGGTTGGAAGTTGATTTTCTTCCTTGTATCCAATGTAGTCAAAAGCGAGTTTCTACGTAGAAATGTTTTGGTGATCTAGAAGCGTAAAATCGTAAGTTTTTAAGTTTTAAAGCAGAGTTTTTAACTACATAAGTTATAAAAACTGAGACTTTGTATAGAAGCGTTTAAGTGACCTAGAAACGTAAAATCGTAAGTTTTTAAGTTTTAAAGCGCGATTTTGACTACATTGCTTGCATCCTAATTAACTCCAACACTCAGGGGGTGTCTTGTGGCTTGTTTTCTACTTTTGTTTTAATGAGGGGGATGGAGCAGGGAAAATGGTGTCTTGAGGCTTGTTTAAGTCAATTAGATTTTTTATGTCCGAAATTCAGAAATGTTTGATGTTGAAATTGCTCTGGTATTTGCAGAGATTGGCCAGGAGGGATTTATCAATCTGGTGACGTCCTGCTATTTTGAAATATAGAACCTTGGGAAGGTTTGGTCAAATCGGATATGGCAGGACAAGGAGTGGCGGTAATGGACCCTGCGGTGCTAGACGACTTAATTAAACGGTTGACAGAGGTCCGATCAGCCAGACCTGGCAGGCGGGTCCAGCTCTCTGAGGCTGAGATTAAGCAGCTCTGTCTTGCCTCTCGTGAGGTCTTCCTTCAGCAGCCCAATTTGCTCGAGCTAGAGGCTCCCATTAAGATTTGCGGTACGCTGATTCTTGGTTTTTGGTTCCTATTTTGTATTTTTCCTTTCGCCTCGGTATTAGAAATTTGGGGGTATCGATGGAGTTCTGTCTGTTTTACCATTGATGGGCTGTTGTAGTTCTATGATTTTTGGTCAAGAGAGCTGGGTTTGGTCTTGTAATTGACTATTAGGGATAGTATCCTTTTGGTAGTCGTCAGCTATTCGCTGTAGGTGTACCCATAGGGTTCCAATGGTCGTACACGAAGTTGTCTTTCTTGCAGCTGCTGGTTCGTTGCTGATCTTATTAGGAGATGGATACTTGGTTTAGCAGTACTTGGAGTTACCTAGGCAGTGTTATATTGTCGAGTAACTGTATGTCTGAAATTTGGTATCTGTTCTTGATATGTCATTGTGATACCTACAAATGAACTTCAGATAAGTTGAGCAGCATTTCATGCTGGAATTTTCTGTCTTTAGCAATTAAATGAAGTATGTTGGTAAGATGGAATTGGGTAATTATGGAGGTTTTGTAGCTGTTATAATATGGCTGGCAAATGTAGTTTTTCATGTGTCTGAGTATGACAATATTGTGCTCGTGTTTCTCGGGCTAAATTGTATGCCTCTTTTCTATGGTTGTTCATCTTCATTAATCTATTCACTTTGACTAGATTTATTCTGTAGATATTTTATCTGCCCGTTCTTTGTGGTTTATGTCTATCAACTTTTATCTTGTGTGCCTTAATTCTTTGTAGTTTATGTGTGTGTGTGTTTTTGTTTTGTGAATTTTCATTCAACTTTTTGGTATGCTTGATTTCCTGGCGTTGACGTGCATGCACATTTTCTGTGTGTTGTTGAAGGTGATATTCATGGGCAATACAGTGATTTGTTGCGGCTTTTCGAGTATGGAGGTTTTCCACCTGAGGCCAACTATTTATTCTTAGGAGACTATGTTGATCGTGGCAAACAAAGCTTGGAGACTATATGCCTCTTGCTTGCCTACAAGATTAAATACCCGGAGAACTTTTTCCTTCTGAGAGGAAATCATGAATGTGCTTCTATAAACCGCATTTATGGGTTCTATGATGAATGCAAAAGACGTTTCAATGTGAGGCTTTGGAAATCTTTCACCGACGCTTTTAATTGCCTTCCCGTCGCGGCTCTTATAGATGACAAGATATTATGTATGCATGGTGGTCTTTCTCCTGATTTGACACATTTAGACCAAATCAGAATCTTGCCTCGGCCAACTGCTCTTCCGGACACTGGTTTGCTGTGTGATTTGTTATGGTCAGACCCTGCTAGAGATGTGAAAGGGTGGGGAATGAATGACAGAGGGGTTTCATATACCTTCGGCCCTGATAAGGTATCTGAGTTCTTGAACAAGCATGATTTGGACCTTGTCTGCCGTGCACATCAGGTGAGATTCACTTTCAGTTGGCTACTTCTATTTTTTCTCCGTGAACATTCTGGTCATTTGTTGTGGAAACTAATACGACTCGTTTTTTGTCTAGGTTGTAGAGGATGGATATGAGTTCTTTGCTGAAAGGCAACTTGTGACCATATTCTCAGCTCCCAATTATTGTGGCGAATTCGATAATGCTGGTGCGATGATGAGTGTCGATGAAGACCTGATGTGCTCCTTTCAGATTTTGAAACCTGCATGATGTCAAACAAAATATGACGGTGGGCTGAAACTTGAACACTTGGTCTTGAGCCTTGATGGAGGTCAGCTATACACTCTTGTCTCATTTGATTCATCTAATTATTTATACCTTGTCCTCGTTTACCGTTGGGTAGTGGTATTCTTTCTTTCTTGCTCTGAGTGATATATGGGGTTTGTTTTCCGTGTGCATAGAAGTGGTGATAGTTGAATTCCCCTGTCTGGTTCGTTCGTTGAATTGCTTTATATTTATTTGTTGCACACCAGGCCATTTTTCAATATGAACGGACGTATGGGGACTTGGAATAATTGTTTATCTTATATCTTCGTCAACATATATTACTATGCAACGGGTTGATTTCAGAACTCGTACACAAAAAGATGTTCTGCCGTTTATTTTCCAGTATTATGAAGACAACAATGTGGACCATTCACATCTCGATTTATAGCACGCGGATCGAGTAAATTGGGTCTAAGAGAGTCACTTTTTCAGGATTTCAGAATTTCCTGATCAGTCTCGAGACACTTCAAACTGTATACCTGTTTGGGCCTGCCACACACAGTAGCCAAATGTTAATAGTGTAGGATGCCAGTTAGTGAATAATATCTGCCACCACTGGTGTTTTCTACTATGCGCGCACTTTACTAGAGCAGTCGAGGTGCCAGTCGGCGAATAATATCTGTCGTTGGGTTTCATCCCACGACCTGCTTCCTCAGCAGCCTTGCCTTATTTCTCAATACCTCTAAACTTTGCAGGGTAGGGGTAGTAGTTGAAGTTGAAATGGCTGTTCTGTGTGTTCAGTTCAGACCAGACCAGATGAAATAAGTACCAAGGCCAGGGTGTGCAATCACCAACTTAGTTTGGTACGCCAAGCAAGGGAGGGACAGTTCTCCATTTTCGAGTATCTTTCGGGTTGTACATATCTACAGGCTGCTAATTGAAATCAATCTTTTTTTGCTGTACACGAAGGGGTGAGGGGTCTGTCTGCCGTCCGAGGCTTAGCCACCTTTGAAGTTGCTAATTTCTTATGTTTTTCTGCTGTAGATCCTGTGACTTCTGTGTTGTTTCTACGTCTTGTTGGCATTTGTTAATCTTTCTCAGTCTGGCATGAAGATGACTATTTGTTGAGCCAGCCGTTCACTGTTTTGCTGCAGGCGCCATCCAGCAGCTTCTAACTCCCATTGGTGACCCCGACGGCTGCTGTGTAGACTTTTTTTCCTCTTAATTTTGTGTTTTCGATTAGTCTGTAATCTTATTGTATTGTGCCATTTTGGAGTTCTCAGAAGTGGTATTAGTCTTAAGTAGGGATTGTTTGGTTGATTTCTACTGGTGGACAAAAGACAATTCTACTAGTAATTGTGGATGTGGATGATCGTATTCACAAGCGGCAAGAGCCTAAACAACAAACTTCAAATCACTGTCTTATCAATCAAATAAGAGGGCTTTGAGGACTATCCTACGCAAATCAAGAAATAACAAAAATTAACTAGTGGGAGAATCATTTAGAGAAGGTAGTTGACCAGACCTTGAGTCCTCTTTTGATGTTAGCTTAGGTTTTTTTATGTTTTTTTTTTTATGAATGGTACATGACATTAAACGGAAAGTAGATCACAAATTGTGGTTCATCATGAGTAGGGGTGGCCATGCAGTTTGTTAAACCCAAGCTGAATTGAATCATATATGAAATCGTCTCAACCAAATTATATTTGTGTATGGGTTGAATCAAATTATAGTTGTGCATTTGGTTGCTGTCGGAGATCGGTTGAAATGGATTAAATTGAACTTTCGAATTCAATGTCACAACCCTTCCCAATGAAAGGTAAGCCCAACCCTTATCTCGATCTTTCTCGTACCTATCCTAACTCATTTCTTCCTCCATCCTCCTGAGCTACTCTTTCCCTTCTTCCACCTCTCGTCGTTGCTATTGATATCGCTTTTCTCCCTATAACAAAGCAAACCCCTAAGGCTACATTGTAGTAAGAACTAAGATCCTTGTGAACCAACCTTTCTCCTATCCTCTTTCAATTCATCTCCCGTCAAGCAACGATTTCATGTCGTCGGGCGCTTACTCTTCGAGATGCTTACTCTTCGAGACTTGGGTCTTCTTATTCAAGATAGTAGAGAAAGTGACGAGATAAAGGAAAGAAGAAGAAGGATTGGACTTACCCAAGTCTAGAGGGTTGAAGATTTCTTTTCCAAAGGGTGAATCAAGCAACTAAAAGGAACGAGAATCATCTCACCATGGGTTTTTCTTCCATCTTGTTTGTATTTCTCTTCCTAGCTATAGAGTAGTCTCCCATTTCACTTGGATATTGGAAACACTAGTCTAGGATGTGTTAGATTGTAAGAGTTGAATTCTATGTGTGTTGGGTTAGTGATTAATATAACATTTGAGGTATTTTTCATGAATCTTTGGTGTTGTTTATCATATCTCAGTGTTGGATCAATTTGACCTTGAAGGAGAAAATCCCCTTATAGCCCACATCTTGGTAATTCGGGTAACCCCTTCTAGGGCAATTCAGGACAAACCTCAAACATCCGATTAGTGACATGATTTCTTCGTGATTGGTTGCTTTACGACGTTCCAGATTAACTTCCGAGGGATTGGTTTTTGCAATCATTAGTCGATTGATTGAGAGAGCTAGGTTTCCTACCTTATCGTGACAATACTTAGTTGATCGACTAAGAGAGTTGGAGTTTCCTAACTAATTGCATCCTCCTCACAGTATATAATCACTCTTCACACTAGAGTTTCATTCGTTGCATCTTAACACGAGACTAGGGGGAACAATATCCGGGTGAAGCTTTCTCAAATTGAATTCACCACAAATTACTTTGCTTGCTTGTTTAATTATAGTTTCTTTACCTTTTAGACCAAACCGTTTGCTAGATAATATATAAACGATTGAAGTAGGGATACATAGACCCTCTCGGATTGATATTAAACCACTTACTCTATCCTACTCCCGGCTATAGGTTGCACTTGGCATATAGTTGGGAATTATGGAGTTAGGTCTGAGTCAAATTTTTGGTGTTGTAGTTGGGGAAAATTTATGATCTATTATTAAGAAAAAGTCGTTTATTGTTACTCTAGCATTTCATTTCTTGCATTGTTTAGTGTGAATCTTGCTTGTCTTGGCTAGTGTGTGCAGGGGGTGTATGACCTGGAGTGATCCGACACTTTTGGCGCCACTAGATGACAACATCAACCGAACTCTTTGACTCTTGGATTGGGAGAGAAAGTTGAGGGAGGGAAAATAAAGATTGGAGAAGTTTCTTTTGAAGAGGAGTTTGAAGTTGAGAAACTTGAGATGGCGGAAGAACACGCCCACGAAGATGATGAAGCGAGGATGATGGGCTATTGCATGGCACCGCGAGCGGCAGATATTCAATCAAGCATCTTGCATTTGCCCGTGGCAGCCAACACCTTTGAGATAAAGCTCGACATCTTCACCATGATTTAGAACAACAAACAATTTCATGGACTTGAAGATGAATCTCCACGGGAGCATGTCTAGAGATTTCTCGAGTTAGCGAGAGGCTTGAAGATCAATGGAGTGCCCGAGGAGGCCATTAGGTTGAGGCTTTTCCCCTACTTCCTAAGTGGGAAGGTCCAAACCTAGTAGAACAACAAGCCACCACTCTCAATAACTTCATGGGATGATTTGCTAAACAAGTTCATGAATCACTATTGTCCACCTTCTAATACGACAGAATACCGGAAGAAGATCACTCATTTCTTCCAAGAGGGGAACGAAACTTTAAGGGACTTATGGGAGAGGTACTCAGATAATTTTCTCCAGTGTCCACACCATAGGTTTGGAGAGCAGTTTCGGATCGAGACCTTCTACAATGGTCTCCTTCAAGAAGATCAGATACTCATTGATTCATAATGCCAAGGGAACATGCTCAACAATACTCCACCCGAAATGACTGCATCATTTGAAGACATGGCCGCAAGAGGCTATGATTGGGGGTCGACAAGGCATGAGAGAAGGATGCGAGAAAGAGAAGTACACTCCACCGAAGCTAACCCTCCACTTGCGGCAAGGTATATGAGTTAATCAAGGTGATCTTACATGATCAAGGTTCTAAAAAGCGCTAGGCGTAAGGCAGGCGCTCGGCTCCTGACTTGCGCCTTGCCCGATTAGGCGTAGCCTAGGCGCGCCTAGGCGTTTAGAGCATAAATGGAAAAATTCTCAAATATTTCCTATTTTCTTGAATAATTCATATAATCCAAGTGCATATAAAATTAGCAATGCCTAGTTCTTAACAGTAAACACTTAACATAACAAATAACAAGCAAATAGTGACCAATCATCTGCTAATAGGTGCTTATAGAGGCAAGAAGCTTGTGCTACGTACCGAGGAGAAGGAAGGAGCAGCAATTGACGAGTTTCGACTTTATTTCCCACTATAGCAGCGGAGCTGTGTGAAGGCGAGAAGAGTGATCGATGACTTTCTCCTGCGGTGGCAGAGAGCAGCAAATGGGGCGAGAGCTAAGGCGGCAGGCGGTAGAAGATGGGGCGAGCGCTAGGGCGGCAGGCGGCATAATATGTTACTTCCCATGTTTTTTATTTTCTAGGGCAAGAGGCAAGTTTCTGATTTTCTAGGACAAAACGAAGAGTATTGGGTTTAACCGCCTAAGCTTGCCCAGGCACGCCCAGGCACGCCTTCTCTCCACTAGGCGCAAACTAAGCGCTATTCCTAGCTACTAAGCGCTACCAGCACCTTTTTCAACGCCTATGGTCAAGTCAAGGCGATCCTCCACCGCCTAGCGCCTAATTGAGCCTAGGCGTGCGCCTAGGTGCGCCTTCTTGAACCCTGTACATGATAGGAAGCAAAAGATGAGCCTGGTTATGGTTTGTGATTGGTGCTCAAGTCCGAATCGTGAGGTTGAAAAATGTCAACTTAGGAGGGAAACGAGCATCCCGGAAGAGCAGTTGAACTTTGTTGCTAATGCTAAGTGGTCGACTATAACAACAAACCCTTTAGTAATGCATACAATACGGAGTGGTGCTTGTCAAGGGGAACATCATTTGACCAAGAACTTCCAGCTCGAGCCATGACTTCCTCCTCGTTTCAACCTCAACATGACAAAACTTCTGCACTTGAAGAGCTTGTGAAGGCCTTCACGAGCTCTAGTTCACAAAAGTTTGAAAAGAGAGAGAATTTATGGAGAGGCATCCGAGAAATTCTAATCCATTGAAGCAGGGTTGCAAAGTCACCAATCGACGTTGACAACTTTGACCACTCGGATGGGCATCATCACTCAAGCTACCATTTCTCGGAATCGACTCAGCGAAACTGAACTGCATGTTGTGACACTACAAATTGGGAAAGAAACCAAAGAAGTACCGGTTTTGAGAAAGTCAATTGTGAAGTCGAGGCAAGCTGATCAACCGACCACTATCGAGCAATCAAAGGTCGCAGGCACATCGGATAAAGGGATAGAGGATCTGATTCCTCAACTAAAACGACTAAAGAAGGAAGTCATTTCTCCACTCCCTTATCGAACTCGGTTGCACAAGGATCGATTGGAGGTTGCGCTTACCTACTCTATGGCATTGATGACCTAGCTTCACCTCAACATTCCATTTGTTGAGGCAATCACCCAGATGACAAATTACACAAAGTATTTGAAAGACCTTATCACTAACAAGAAGAATCTGGAAAGCATGGCCACCGTGACCCTAAACGAAGAATGCTCGGCCATCTTGCAGAACCAGCTTCTAGTGAAGCAAAAAGACACATAGAGTTTTAGCATTCCTTGTTTTATTGGCGGTATGTGTATATGTTAGTCCTTGGTGGACCTAGCGGCTAGCATCAATGTGAAGCCGTGTATACTATTTAAAAAGTTAGACATAGGTGGACCTAGTGCCAATAGGATGAACATATAGCTAGCATATAAGTCTATTGTGCATCCCAAAGGAATAGTCGAGGATCTACTTGTTAAGGTTGGAGCGCTCATATATTTGTTTGATTTCTTCATCCTCGATATCAACGATGTGTTGGCGTTCCCCTTATTATGGGTATACCCTTTTTGGCCACCGCCAATGCTTTAATTGACGTGCATGGAGGGAAATTGGGTTTAAGAGCAGAAGATGAAAACACAACTTTCTCCATTGCTGATAGCATGAAAAACTCATGTTTGCATGATGAAGTGGATTACTGTGAAGAAGTATCGAATTATGTTGCGGCACACGTATACGAGGGTGCTAGTTTTGGTGATGCTTTTGAGGATTGTTTTGTGATAAGGACAGATAGCTTGGAGGAATTGCAGGAGGAGGAGCATCTTACAAGTGTAGATGAATTTGAAGTGTCCGTGCAAGAATTAGAGGTAAAGCCACTGCCTCAAACATCCAAGATTCCCACTTCTTTGGAATAACCACCGGAGTTAGAGTTGAAGCCACTTCCTAGGCACCTTAAGTATGGTTTCTTGAGGGAAGAGTGCAAGCTCCCTGTTATCATTAGCTCCAACCTCAATTCGGAGCAGA